AGCAAAGAAGAAAATAATAAAAATGAATTGATTAAAGCAGATTTTATATATACTACCGATAAGATTCGTCAGCATGATCCTTATTTTTTTAAATTTTATATTAATAAAAATAACGATCAATTGGGAATTGAAGAATTGTTGCATGAAGCTGAGAATGCTATTAAGGTTTCAGAAATTACTAATGATGTTGATGCCATTGCTTTAGTTAATCAAGTTATTAAAGTTGAATATAATCAAATAAGCACTTCTATTACAATTACAGAAGCTTTAAATTGTTTGAAGTTGCGTGAACGAGCAAATCTTACTCAAAAAATTAAAGAGTTTGCCGATTTTAATTGCTCGAATTATAACGGAACTGAATATGCAATTAATTATAATGATAATTCAAATAATTATATTAAATTGAAAAATTTCAATTTAATTCAAAATGTTGCTAAATGGCTTAACTTTAAAATACGTAAAACTGTTCATTTTGAGGAATCTGCTTTAGAATCTATTCGATTTGGAATTGGAATTCAAGTTTGTTTGAACGATTTTGGATTGTTCAATGGATTAGAAGATAAAATCCGTGAATTTATTCATCAAAGAAATGATGATTATCATATCATTGTATTCCAATTCAGTAATTTCTTATTTTATTATTTAAAAAATATATTTGAATATTCTGTTGGAAAATCGGTCAAAAGCGGATACGATGAAGACTTTGATCACAATAAGCCTGATGAAGCAACTAATATAAGATGGATTGGATATGCATGTCGGGATAAATATCCTAAAAACAAAAATCATAGCAAGAAAAGACCAGTTCCGCTTAAAGAAGATGGAATTTATTCAATGACTAATAATTACGCATTTAAATTTGATGACAATTATATTAACAACATTTTCGAAAAGAAAATTTTGATAATTACTGATTCAAATCATACTTTTAATAGTGATTTTGACGCATTTAAAATTAATGTTTTGTTTTATGATTTCAAAAATCCTTTTGATTTCTTTTTAAATAATGTTATGGAAAATTTAATTTATAATCAATGATTTATTGCGCTTGTCAAATCACTGTGATCATCAAATGATCATCCATCATTCCAAAATCTACAATTTATTTTTTTTCCAATATCTATTTTTATATTAGACCATTTATTTGGTTGACTAAACAATAAAATATATGTTTTTTTAAAACTATGTTCTCATAAATTTAAATGAAAGAATTTTACCAATGCCCTGCTTATTTTCAGTGTTTAAAATTATTTCAAGGATCTCTTGCAGTAGGGCTAAATCAATTGATTAACGTTAATGAGATTTGCTAATTATTGCCTGCGGCGATGATTGCCGCAACGTAATTAACCAATCAGATCATGGGATCAGGTGTAACATAAAGAATTGAAAAACAATCAAAAAAACCAAAAAACTTTCGTAGTTCAATAATTCATTTATAAAACACTAACAAAAAAATTTCTTGTGAAATTTTGGTATAAGCCTTCATCTTAAATCTAATCTAACCTATACCCTAATGTAACCGTTGATGGGAGAGCTTAATTAAATAATAGAAAGAGTGTGCCAATCTAACTCCAACGGTGTACGGATAATAAGGCTAACTTTGGGTAAGTGAATTAGGTCTTTTATAACTGATAG